TACTCATTGGGGGGCCGCATTTTAAAAAATCTCACAAAGTGAACGGGGCAAAATTACTGTTTCGTAAAATTCAAATTCGATAAACCAGATCGAGCTTGCAGGGCTTCAGTTGGGCTCGATCTGATTACGCTTTGTGATCCACAGCCTGTACGTGTAGGATCTTGTCATTCGGCTCGGAAATCTCATTTATTTTGCATCTTCTCGTCGGTCGCTCTAAGGACTTACAGTTAGAGTAGAGCTGCGAATAATTTATTAACTTCTGCACTGCTAAACATACGTATACAGCGGGTTTTTCAATGGCAATGAACCACCAAACTCATACAACTAGTTCGGCCTAATTCGACGCGATTTTAATTTAAATATGAAATATTTCTCGGGGATTTTGTATTCAGGATTCGTGTCGGAAAGTTCCTGAAAAAGCATCCTTTTAGGGCTGGCAAGAGCGCTCTAGGGGCTCTCGAAGCCTTTGAATTATTGATGGCGGGTCTGGCTGCATCTTACCTGAACATTTCATATGTAGGCTGCCGCCCCTTTAGTCTAATATTTCGATTTTATACCCGATCATAGCTAAGATTGGAGTCTATGGATAGGAGTGAGGAGAAAATATTGCAGGAAAGATGAACACAGTGTTGACAAAGAGAAATTAAGCATCTAATGCGATTTGAATGCGATTCTGGGGGTTTCTATATTTAATATTTTATTATATACTTGCTCTAGATTAGATGCTAGAATGTCTTAAAGGAGTGCCTGCTAGGCCTGGGTAACTCAGTGAATTTTTAGGTGTTGGCGCAGTGCTGCGCACATGACCTGGTGCGCCAACCTAACGCACCGGCGCAGTCACTCGGTTCGGTTGCTGGAAAAATGTTGATGATCTTATTTCGCTTGTTTGTTAGATTTATTTTAACGGCCATCTGTTAATAATATTTTTAGTTTCTTCAAAATTTCAGAATTTTCCAGTTTTAGCCAAGTTACTATTTCTTCAAAACGGTCAATTTTCTAAAGTTTTTCTCAAAAATACTGACAATCTTAAGGGCTTTTCTGCAAAAAAATATTAAGTAAATTGGTTAGAACACTCGCCTCCTTCATCAATTTGTAAAAATGTTTTAAATTCCCGTTCCAGCTTCGAATTTGGGACAAAAATAAATTATTATTTTTTATCAGAAAACGAACAAAATAAGCGAAAGTTTATAATAYATTATTTGGAAAACTCGTCACYCCCATTCCTCTGAAGACTGTAAWGTTTGTTAAAACATTGTGAGTTTTTAGTTGTGCCWGAATTTTTTTCTTGCTTKACTTTCTACTCAAAAACRCTCTATTTTGTAGAGTTTCACTTGAAAATACTAACAATCTGGAAGTCTTTTACACGAAAAATTCCAAAATAMATTTATAGCTTTGTGGGAATTTTATAAAAACTTTTTCAGTGTCGGATTCGGGACGACAATAAATTTCTTCCGTTTTTTTTTTCGAAAATCGTTAAGGTTTTCTCAAAAACCGATTACAAAACTAAAAGTTTTTAAGCAAAAGCGGAAAAAAATYATTATTTTCTGATGCTTCTCTTCTTTTCTGRCAATCATGGGRTTTTTTYAGMCAAAAATTACTAAATTAATTTTGTTAGAAAATTCGCCTCATTTAACKCATTGCARGGAATTTTAGAGAAYTYTTTTCAAGTTCGAATTTGGCACAAAAACCAAATAATTTAAATTATTTTTTRCCGAAAGTGATTAAGATTGTCTTGAAAAACGACCAGAGAGASGAGAGCAAAAGTTTACAAAAAACTAATTGGAAAWTTCGCCACCCTCATGGCTTTGGAGATTTTTAAAGTTTATTTAAAAGATTAGGCCTCCAGCTTTAGCAAAGTTTTTTTAAGCAATTTTCTCTACGCAAAAAACGCTTTTTTTTCTAGTTTGACTTAAAAATACTGATAATCTTCGGGCATTTTCTGTGAAAAATTATAAAATAAATTTTATCACTAAACACTCGCCTCCTTCATCAATTTGCAAAAATGTTTTAGTCTCGTTCCAGCTTCGAGTTTGGGACACTAACAAAATATTTTTTTATCAAAAAACGAACAGAGTAAGCGAAAGTTTATAATAAATTATTTGGAAAACTTGTCATCCCAATTCCTCTGAAGACTGTAAAGTTTGTTAAAAAGCTGTGGGTTTTTAGTTTTGCCTGAATTTTTTTCTTGCTTTACTTTCTACTCAAAAACGCTATATTTTGTAGAATTTTGCTTGAAAATACTGATAATCTAGGTGGTTTTTACACGAAAAATTCCAAAATAAATGTATAGCTTTGTGGGAATTTTATAAAAACTTTTTCAGTGTTGGATTCGGGACGACAATAAATTTCTCCCGTTTTTTCCCGAAAATCGTTAAGGTTTTCCCAAAAACCGATTACAAAACTAACCGTTTTTAAGCAAAAGCGCAAAAAATCGTAATTTTCTGATACTTTTCTCGTTTTTTGACAATAATAGGAGGTCTTTTCAGCCAAAAATTACAAAATTTTGTTAGAAAATTCGCCTCATTTATCGCTTTGCAGGGAATTTTAGAAAACCCTTTTGAGGTTCGAATTTG